CATCGGAGTCTCCACCAGGAGGTTGACCGCAAAAAGTGTGGTACAGGTAAAAAGTGTGAGAAAAGAATAGGACAGTGTGGCTATTATCCGCCTGTTTGTTTGGAATTGTTTGGCTGAAAGTAATTAGTTTTTGTTAGCTTCACCCATGGTTCGATCGTAGGATTATTTATGGTTCTTTGGTTTGATTTGGTGAGAGAGAAAAAATATCATTTGACCATAATTTATGATATAATCCATGATCAAATGAACAGTTGTGGATCTATGGGTGTTTGAGGAGGGTTTATCCTGAAATTTGTAAATCCTTGAACAAAATGATTTATAACTTAAGAAAATCTACTATTCAATGAAACTATCTCCAATGAAGAAAGTATGGCTTATAAGCTAAATAAGCCCCTATGACCCGAGTTCAAATCTCCAGGTTAGGCGGGGTTAACGATCGGCGGGCGATCATTTCTCGATCTCCTTTTTAAGCGCCCGATTGACATTATTATGGTTCGGTACTAATTTGGTACGGCATCAACAGTTCCACTCGGTGGAAATACTAGAGCAAATCAGAGAAGGTGCACCGCTTATCTTCTTCTTTTTTTGCATAGACATGTTGTATAGGACATGTATGGTAGAATTTTAGACAATTATTATTTTTATAATTTTTTAGGGGGTACATTGGTAGCTTCACCCATGGTTCTACTAGGTCATTTGGATCTATGGGTGTTAGAGGAGGGTTTATCCTAACAAAATTTGTAAATCCTTGAACAAAATACTGTTATAACTCAAGAAAATCTATGTCATGCAATGAAACTATCTCCAATGACTTCGATATTGGCCCTACGGTTGCTAGACCAATTGGTCAACCCTCCGGTGGCGCCCCTATGGGGTTAGGGGTTTTCTCGGTGAGTTCAAATGGCTAGAGGGGTTAGGCGGGGTTAAGCTTAACAAAATTAGACGATGAGGCTAAGGTGTGGAAAAAAAACCCTCGTATGTCCCGCTAAGCCTGGGCGTTCGGGTTACCTATTTTTTTGGATCGGGTAATACGAAATTTGGGTAATGAAAAATAGTACCCGATATTAGTCCAATCACAAGGATGAAAACACCAATCACCTCGAAATCGGAAATTGCTTGCCGTAGTCCTCTGATTCATTCTTGGAGGTTCGGATATACCCAATATACCCGCAAATCATGAAGTTTTGTGTACCTGTGCGCTCCTCCATGGCCCTCGATCTGCAGGTGCGGTGGTGCCGACGACGGGGGAGGGGTGGGGGGCTAGTTGCGAATCGCCGCCGCCAAACACCAAGTGCTTGTGGATGCAAACGCTGCCAGCCTTGGTTGCCGCCTAGGTCGCCAAAGATGTTGGTCAATGATGCAACGTGGGAGGGCTGGACCGGGAGGTCAAGGTTGCTATGTCAATACAAATGGCTAAAAGAGTGAGGAGCGCTAGAGCTTGGAGATCTCGTGGAGGAGGAGTCGAGGGCACCGCTAGAGGGTCGAAGGCAGAGTCGCGCCACCGCCTGTCGGAGTCGATGCTAGTTTTTCATGGCTTCGCGTCCTCCCGTCCCATCGAATCGAGGTCGAGGACTCGAGGTCTCTCGGAGAGTCACGGTGGGGGATGGCACTGGTGCTGGGCTCTCCTTTCCCGTTGGGCCGCAAGAGGTGGACAAGTTGGAGACTGATGAGCGTTCATGTAGATATTGGGTATATGGGTAATCCGGCACCACAACTTGTTACCCGAATTACCTAAATTATTTTCGGGTATCTCAAGTTAATATCCGAACTACCCAAATTTATTTCGGGTCCGGGTTCAAGTAGATCGGGTTTGGGTAATGGGTATCGGGTATTTTGCCCAGCCTTATGTCCCGCGTTTTCTCCCAAAGCATCACCATGTAAAATGAATGGTCCTCTTGCTTCACCACTTGAAATGTAACCTATCGGCCCACTTTGATAAACTAGGTTAGGGCATGGGGTTCGGGGGTTTTCTCGGGCTGGGTGAGATGTCATCTACCTTAAGCTAAATTAGCTTGGGGTGTCTACCACCCGCAGCCCAAGTTTTTTTTGACTTTGATATTGTTCTTGGCTAGACTTGCCCTTTTTTATGAACAGCAAATAAGGTAATTTAGTTTGGGTATATCAAAGCTAATGACTAATATTGTATTAAAATACCTGCAAAATATCATAATTGAAGGTTTTTATATAAGAACAGTGATAAAATATACTCCATCCTTTTCTTTTTTTTAATAAGGCGCACACATATATTAAAATTTAAACTTTAAAATCTTTGACCAATATATTTTTAATTATTATAACACAAACTTGATATGGTTAAATTTATAATCAAATGCACTATCCAGTTATCATAAGCTTATAATATTAATAATATAAAATAAATAAATAAATAAATGGTTAAAGTGTAATTTGGGATGATGTGCCATGTCAAAATGCGCATTGTAAATGGGAACAGAGGGCATTAAAGACTATACAAAGTCAAACGTCATATGTCTATGTTGCGACATACATAAAACTGAACGGAAGGGGTATATAAATTTGTAATTTAAATTTTTTGGGACATATTATTTGTTTGCATGATTTTTTCATATACACGGAAAGGTGGATTTTCAAAATTTTCATCTCTCTTCCTCTGTGTCCCTCTCAATCTAGTTTATTAATTTATTGTAAATTCTACATGGACAATGACTTCTTTAGTGTAGTATAAGACCAATGCATTGCCTTGCATTATTTTGTTATAGATAGTAGAATAGTACAATATATAACTTGTGTGATGAATCTTTCCTGGAAAGTATGCACAACAAGAATCATGTGCCACGGATTAAAAGTTGTGAACCATATCCGAGGATGCTATTCCTCGAGAATCCAACGCCGTAAAATCAAGGGCCCGCTTCCTCACTAATATCATAAATTCATAATGATCTCAACAAGGATTTCTTGGTGGCATAACCGCATATGGGTATCTTTGATGATCTAGGAGATAAACGACCTCGACGTGCACGTATGGGTTTGAACGTCGCAACGAAGAAATTCTCATATGCCATCACCGGATTAGTGCCGACGGCTTGCAAAATACACGAGTATATGTACCGCGTGATGATGATTATATTATAATAATGTTTTCGAAAGGCTTGGCCCTTCTTCCTGGACTGGAATATAGTGTTCCCATTATTCTCACCGGTGGAAATACAAGCAATAATTCTGATGAGAAGAATCATTTTGGTCGTACTGAACGCGAGAATATCTCTGCATTATTATCTGGGCTGGACAGTCCATTCCTGCATGCAACGCTAATGCTCTTTTATTATATTCCGGCGAGAATTATCCTGAGATATCTTGATGGCAATTGCAAAATTTTGTGTCGCGGAAAGCTGCAACGGAAATCTATTCCCCTCGCTACCTAAAATTGCGTCATGTTATTCTTCAGTTCTTTACTGAGGGCTTCCATTAAAAAAAATTCCTGGTACCTTCCTTTGGACCGGAGAAGTATCACTACATGACCATGCAGCTGGTACCATATAGAAAATATTTTAAATTCATCGCCTTCAAATTTAGCGATATTGATTCTGTTTTTTTAGTCAGGTTCATCTAGCTTATGGAGAAGTTGTTTTTCTCTCTTTTTATTTTATTTATACGATCCTTTTTCTGTCCACCTCCTTGAGTGTTGACGTAATCGTCTGCTACTAGTACTAGTGAAACAATTAGGTAGGTGAAATGACGTAGAATTCTTGTGAAATCGCTGCGATCCGAGTCCGGAATCCGGAGACACGATCACACGGCCAAATACATACATTCCGTCCGATCTGGACTGAATTGAGTAGGTGTACGGTGTACCCATTCGGCCATTCTGACCACTGTACCGTACAGATGCGGCGCACGAAGTGGTGGTGCCCATGCGACGCGAAGCCCCCGCGGGCCGCCGTCCAGGTCCAGGACTCCAGGCGCGGGGAGGAATGGCAGCATGGGGCACCGGCGAGATCAGATCCAGAGCCCGTGCTCCTCCCCGAGCGAGCAGCGGCATGTGAGCGCGTTAGCAGGGTGTCGCTCAGAGGCAACGGGATTAAAGAAACTCTCTGCCTCAGTACGGACCTGGCACTTACTCATGCTGCGGCCTGCGATGAGCGGACGGGACGTGGCTGGCGTTTTCTTTCTTCTCCTGCTTGTTTGATTGATGGAGGATGGCGAGCATGATCTCAGGGTCGTTCTTCTGTCATGGCTTGCGGCTCCGTTCTATAAAGTTTTCTGGCAAGGGATTGCGGCTTACCTGAATTGCCGGAACGGCCGGAAGATGCGACGGCGGAGCTGGGTTTCTTGGCATTTGACACTTGCACGGGCAGGTAGCGCTGTTTTCTGGTCACCGTCTCACGTCCTGCAAAGCTTGTGTGCGTGTGTTGGCTAGGAGAATCAGAGACAGGCAGAGATAAGAATAAGCTCTGGAATCCGGCATCTGAAGCTGTTACGCGAACAGCGGAGTCCGCTGGTTTCACTCGAGCCCAGGCTGGTACTTGGCTCAACATAAATGGTTTCAGCTCTATACAGCTTCAGTGAATATACTCCACTACTCCAGCAGGACATCGATGAAATCACGACACATGGCCAGTGCACAGTGTAATTGTCCCTCTGATTTTGGAAGTCAGGAGCATCTGAAGATCGTGAGGGCTGAGCAGATGTCCGTTCTGTCATTCCATGGCCACCTCCAGGCATGTCAAAAGACCAAGATGAATCATGACCATCTGTTCTTTGCCACCAAAGCAGTAAGCAGTGTGCACGATGCCGCTGCGTCACTGCCTGCCAATGTAAGTTACTTACAATGCTCAGTAAGATTACGCAAGCAATTGGAATTTGGAAGAACCAATAACCAATATGGCGACACCCTCTACCACCCCGCAAACTACGACCCGTTTTTTAAACCAAACTCTGATCACATATTAGTAGATGTGTGCATAAAGAAAGGAATAAGGTATCCAACCGGAACTTACCATTTAAATTCAGAGCTACAAATGTTACAATCTTGACCCCGGACCACCCTTTCCTGGTATCTGCAGGGCATCATAATGGCCATAACCATGATAAAGAACTTGGATGGGAGCTTCTGTCCCATACTCTTGGCCATATTCAGCAATCGCTATTAAACCACCGGCTTCGTTATCATGCATGTAAACGGTGATTGGCATCCTGCAAATGCAATAATTGTATTCTTACTACTTTGGTATATCACGATTATGATGGAGGGTCACCATAAAGAAGCCAACCTACAAATGAAATTCCCAAGTATATCTTCTCAGCTATAGTGAATTAACAACAGATGCTGGTCCACGAGATAACTGAATAACTATCTCGTGTCAACATGCAGGTGTTGTAGATGATATATTAAATGAGCACTATAACATTGCAAAGAAGTACAGATGGAACTAACATATCCGACAAATATTTAGCTAAAATAGCAAATAGTATCAAAATATTCAAAGATTGTGGCTAACACTCACTGAAGAACATGTGAAGCCATGAACAACTCTGGCTCACCTCCCCAGACATGTGGCTTCCTAATCTGAGATACGTATGTATCGAAGTCCCCCTCAACAAACCTGAAAGCAATGCACAATAAAATATAAGTACAAGAATATGTGAATGAATAAGCAGCATGAATAGGGAAGAGAGAAAATAACCATTCAGTCTCTGCCCGCCTCTTGATAAATTCATGTGCAACCTAATAGTAATAATGGTAAAGTTCATACAAGGGTTTCAATGATGAAAGGGCAATCACTACATATCTAGTGTTTATGAACTTTAGTAATCGAAACCATTATGAACCTGATAGCAAATAGTGTACAGGTTACCTTTGTTCTCAACTCATCAGCTAGCTTTCTTTGATGATCCTCATTAGGTAAGGGCTTCCTTGACCTAATGCAGGCACCATGAGCCACAGAACGGAACAGGCACCTTCCATCACCAGGAATGCCTGCAGGTCATTCGGTTCAACTATGAGTGCCTATTTGACGTTATACTTAAATCATTTGCAAACTGTGCATTTATTTTAAATGAAACTTTCGCACTCTCACCAGTAACAGAATAATCTGTGTAAACTTTTTTCCCATGAGATAAATTTGTTGATGACTTGTCAGGTTCGGTGCTATCTATGTTGTTGTTCACAGGACCCTCAGCACTCGCCAGCCCAGACACTGCAAAACCTAGTCCAGAGACTACACATCCTATTCTTTGTGGCATACTTCCCAAACTCCAGCTTACACTAGAAACCTTTTGGTGGGAGAGTATATCAGACTTTACATTAAGGATATGGCTTCTTGCTAATAGTCTGCACTGCAACTGTTGTCCTAAACCGACAAAACATGTCGCATTTTGCAGTTGAGATGACTTCACGTTCTTCTTAACAGAAAAATCAACTGAACCTATCCTTGCATGATGCCCCACTGCCTGTGAGCAAGAAGTACTCCATAAATCTACTCTTTGAGTGAAACTTCCTTGTAACTGATTAGATGGAGAATACATGTGCACGAAGTAAAGCTCCGCCAGCAAATATTAGGCATATTGATAAGCATTAGATTCAGGTAGTATCAGGTGTCAACTGAAAAAGTATTTACAGGGAATCATAATTAATAATCAGTGCGATATAAGATTATTTGGCCAAATAAAATAAGATGACACATAGAAGTGGAAATATAGTATCGGATACCAGAAAATGGGGTACCCCAAGCAAAGATCGAGAAACTGTTTAGACCCTAAAAACAGAACCAACGGAATAAACAAACGAGGTCTCGACCGAAATCTCCGATTCGCCGAGACCCCGTCGCCGAGCCCCAATGAAGCAAGCGGTTCTCGACGACTACTTGAGAGACCGCCTCGCCGAAGCCCCAGCGTCGAGCCCCCTCGTCGAGGCCCCTACGCCGGGGCCTCGGAAGAAGTGCCGATTATCCGATTCAGCGCGAGGCGGCTCGGCACCAACCCGTGACCGCCTTTTTTGACCAAAGCGCTTTGACCGAACGTCACATCCAGCGCCCAACCACTCCGGACAGACGCCTTGCGATGGCACAGAGCGGCGAAGTGATGGCTACACTTGGTCGCGTCAACCCCCGCCATCCGAGGCGGCACAGAGCGAGGGTTACCGACCACCGTCCGCCTAACTCTGCACCAAGGACATCCATAGCGTGGGGAGTCGAGCGGGTTCACGTAGCCTCGGAATCGGCGGACCGACCACTCCGTCTCGCCGAGCCCCCTCGGCGGGGCCTCGGATTCGCGATCTATTACGCCTCGCTTCGTCGCCTGCGCCGAGACCCCTCGGAAGGGCCTCGGGCGAATTGGTGGCGGCGCTTCCGCCTCGCCCGAGGCGGGCTCATTCCACAACCTCGTCGCGTCCGCCTCAAAAGTCTCTGGCGGCGGTGTCACATCCGATTAACGCGCTCGGCCGCACCCACTCACGTAAGCCACGATCGGGCGGCATCTTGGCTGCAACAGGAGCGATGGGACAACGGTCAGATCACTTTTTTACCATCCCTACTGACAACACAGGCCTCGGCACGGCAGGCCTCGGCACAACAGGCCTCGGCACGACAGGCCTCGGCACGACCGGCTACGAAGGCCGCCGAGCCTCTGTAATCCACCAAGTCAATAAATGCGCAGCATGTTACTTGCAGTGAAGACCATACCGATTAGATATCTACGGGAACTCCCACGACAACGCCATGCTGCTCCAGGAGTAAATACGTCATCGAATAGTCCTTACTCCATGTGTAGCTCTCTTATGTACTCCTGGTTTCCTCCCTGCGGCTATAAAAGGAGGCAGCCAGGACCGTTTCTAGGACGACGGATAGAATCACAGATACTCGCACGAACAACACGCCTCATTCTGTAATTCATATCACCTCCCCTCACAGAGACCTAGGACGAATTCCCTCTCTCGCCTAGCTTGTAACCCCCTACTACGAGCACCCCGGTGCAAGGAATACAAGAACACCTTCTCAGACTGGACGTAGGGCATCCATTGCCCGAACCAGTATAAACCTTGTGTCTCTTTGCATCTCCATCCGGAATTGGGAGCACGCAAAGCACAAATTCACTAGTCGGTTAAGGACCTCCGGTTCGAAACTCCGATAGTTAGGCGCGCGGTAGGGGCCTCTGCGTGTCGACTTAGTCATCCCACAGATTCGGATGGCGAGATCCCGTGCGATCGTTGCGTCTCGGGGCGATAAATGCGGTTCGGGAGCCTAGAATTCATGTCTCTAGGGCACGAAAGTACGACATGGTACTCCTCTCACCCAGAGCGCCATCGACCGACAGCGACGTCTTGCACCGGCAGCCGCAGCGATGCGGCGCCCGCCGCCGCCGCTCCCGTTAAGCTCGCCGCGGCGCCGCGAGGCGAGTCCACCTAACACCACGCAAAGTCTGAGCGCCGATCGTGCTCCACCGGAATCCCATACCCCGCTGGCAGCGCAGAGTCCTGCGACGGGGACTGTCGGCTTAAGCCTCGACAGGGGAAAAGGGCCGGTGGCGCACAGCGACACCCCATCATCAAGCTCTGTCCCGCCTCCTCCCGAGGAGCCAGCTCTGACGGAGCAAAGCATGGCGACGGCGCCATCCCCGTACCTTTTCGGGCTGACCAATGTCGCCGCCTCCTACGCCACCGCCCTCGTCTCCATTCATCAACGTCATGCCCATAACCCCATAGTCACAACTCCAATCCACCCCCACTCTGACTCCTCGGAGGAGGACGAGGCGTGGGTTGGAGCAGACTTCTCCGGGATTCGTGACCCTGAGGCGATGCACCGCTTCATGATCGCAAGCGACTACTGCTTTGGCCATTCCGATTCCGACGGCGAGGACGCTTATGACCCAACTCGTGAGTGTTTCCACGTCGGACTCGGAATGCCGAGCACGGGCAACGATGGAGGTAGGGCAGCCAACGCCACACCACCACGCGCGGGGTCCCGCCTTGGTGGCGGCGGTATCCCCACCCCGAGCAACAGGCGCGATAGACCTAGAGCAGCTCCGTGAGCTTCAAGCCAAGGTCGAGCAAGATCGACTCCCTGCGGCAACTCCGAGCCACCCCCTCGAGCAAGAGCGTGGGCGCGGCGATGGCGGGCGGCCCGGTGAGGGGCTCGCGGCGTCAACCGCCCGCGTGCGATGATGAAGGGGCGAGCAACCCCTGTCTTCAATCGCGCTAGCCAGAACGTCGCTGCGGCGGCAATACTGGTCCGAGCGATGCCCGAGCCCTCTACCACGGAGGGGCGACGAGTCCACGACGAACTCTGGGGCCTTCTCGAGACTGCCGCGGTGTAGCAGGCCGAAAGCTCCGCGTCTCGACGATGCGGGGACGCCTCAAAACAGCCCTCGGTGCACGATCGCCTCAGGGCCCCCTCAGTGCACGACCGCCTCAGGGCCCCCTCGGTGCACGACCGCCTCAGGGCCGCCTCGGTGCACGACCGCCTCGACGACCAACGCGAGGTGCAAAACGGCCACCACATGGGCAGCAGACGACGGCGCCACGACCATGATGGGGCCGCCCGGGGCTACCGAGTGCACCGAGGCGGTCGTTATGACAGTGGGGAGGACCGCAGTCCCTCTCCCGGGCCGCCTGGCCCTAGAGTTTTTAGTAAGGCCGTCCGCAGCGCCCGCTTCTCGGCCTGGTTTCGTCAGCCGGCGAATCTCTCAAAGTACAGCGACGAGACCAACCCCGAGCTATGGTTGGCCGACTACCGTCTGGCTTGTCAGCTAGGCGGTGCGGACGATGACCTGCTCGTCATCCGCAACCTCCCCCTATTCCTGTCAGACTCAGCGCGAGCTTGGCTTGAACACCTTCCCCCTATGCAAATCCACGACTGGCGCGACTTGGTAAAGGTCTTCGTCAGGAATTTCCAGGGCACCTACACGCTCCCCGGGAACTCCTAGGACCTCAAGAGCTGCCGCCAGAGACCGGACGAGTCTGCGAGACTTCATCCGACGTTTCTCCAAGCAATGCACCGAGTTGCCCAGCATCGGCGACTCAGAAATCATCCAGGCATTCCTCTCCGGCACCACCTGTCGAGACCTGGTCCGAGAATTAGGCCAAAGCGTACCGACCACGGCATCCACACTCCTCGACATCGCCACCAGCTTCGCCTCTGGCGAAGAGGCCGTCGGGGCCATCTTCCCCAACAACAACTCCAAGGGAAGAGGCGGGGAGGAGACCCCGGGGCCTCGGCGTCTCCCCCCGAGAAAAAAGAAGGGCGCCAGAGAAGCAGAGGAGGTTCTCGAGGCCGGGCTCGTCATGTCGAGACCGCAAGAATCCCGAGGCGGGGCTCTTCGACAACATGCTTAAAAGACCTGCCCATACCATCGGGGCCCGGTAAGCACACCCTCGAGGAGTGCACCATGCTCGGCGCTACTACGCTAAGCTCGGGCTCCCCAGCAGCGATGCCAAGAAGAGGGCGGGACAAGCGGAGACAACGACAAGGGCGACGGGTTCCCGAGGTACATAATGCCTTCATGATCTTGGTGGGCCCTCGGCGTACCTCACGGCAGCTGTGACAATGAAAAAAGGAACGCCGAGAGGTCTTCTTGGTTAAGGCGGCCACTCCACGGTACCTCATTTGGTCTCAGGAGGCGATCACCTTCGATCGGGATGACCACCCGATCATGTCCCAAACCCGGCCGATACCGCTCGTCGTTGACCCGATCATCGGGAACACCCGACTCACCAAGGTGTTGATGGACGGAGGCGGCGTGGCCTCAACATCCTGTGACGCCAACATCTTTGGAGCTCCTAGGGCTCGACCGGGTCACAACTCCGAGGCGACCTGCGCGCCCTTCCACGCGGCATCATGCCGGGGATGCGCGCATGACCCCTCGGTAGCATAGACTTACCCGTGCGCTTGGCACCTCCAACTACCGAAGGAGACCCTCACCTTCGAGGTGGTGGGGTTCAAGGGACTTATCACGCCATCTGGGGACGGCCGTGCTCACGCCAAGTTCATGGCGGTCCCGAACTACACCTACCTCAAGCTCAAGATGCCGGCCCTAACGGTGTCATCACTATTGACTCCACGTCTGCGAGCATGCATACATTGCGACGTCGAGTGCATCAGTACGCCGAGGCTATAGTGGAGTCCGAGGCCCTCATCGCCAACCTCAACCAGCTCGGCGTGAGGTACACGATTCTAAGCGTCGTCTTGCGGGACGTTCGAGCCAGCGGAGGCCGTCAAGCTCATCCGGTCGACCCCACTTGCTCAAACAACCGAGTGCTGAGGGTCAGCGCGACCCTCGGCAGCAAATAGGGGGTCGTGCTCGTCGACTTTCTTCGCGCGAACGCCGACATATTTGCATGGAGTCCCTCGGACATGCCGAGCATACCGAGGGAGGTCGCCGAGCATGCCCTCGACATCCAGGCCGGCTCCAGACCGGTGAAGCAACGCCTGCGCCGATTCAACGAGGAGAAGCGCAGGGCCATCGGCGAGGAGGTACAGAAGCTTTTGGCGGCCGGATTCGTCAAGGAAGTGTCACATCCGGAGTGGTTAGCT